GGACAGGACAAAGCCTCCCTGAACCTACTTCCTCCTACAATTACCACCACATTCTAATAATGCAGTTAGATTATGAATACATGAAATCAATTAGTGCATTGATGAGGTAAGAGCCCTATGGTCCAGTCAGTCATCTTGCTAAAGATTTCACCTCTTAATACTGTTGCATTGTTAAATAACCCTTAAACTCATGAGTCTTTAGAAGACACCTCATATGTAAACTATGGCATATTACTTCTTTCATAGCAGGATATCATACAAATAATGTTAAGAAGGTTAAGTAATGCACATAATGTTAATACATATACACACACGCATATGTTTATTCACTTTGGAAGATATATAAAATAATTATTAAGCAATTTTATATAAAAATGCATAATCTAAAGTTAAGTGGATTTTACATACTAATTTTGTTTGTGGTTGTATTATCAAGAGATGCTAAAAAATGTCATTATTTCAATTACTGTACCTAATAATATTTTCTTTGCATGATTTGATTGACTTGTAGATTTGCTATGTGCATTTTAAAGTTTTCTACTGAATATTTCTCTCCAGCAAAGTTACTTTCATAAACAATCATATTAAAATCAGCAATAGAAAATAGTCCCTAAAAAAGCCATAATTGACTACAAAGAAAAAGTCACAATGTTTTCAAGCAATCGTTCCCATTTCTTTGCAAATTGTGATATGTACAGAGGGTTTTGCCTATGCAATTAAGTTAATATGGAAGGTGCTTGTTCCACTTTATTTTCATAACTTCTTAATTCTAAACAAAGATACAAGTTATTCTGCAAAAGGTCAAATAGTAATTTGAATGAAAGTAAAGGAAGGACATTATTTTAACTTTAGTTAAACTTTCTTCTGTACTTACACTAAACTCAAGTCAAATATTTTTGGTTCACTAAACTGCAACAATTTTTTTGTGACAGTTTTATAAATGTCAGTTACTCATTTAAAACTTTGATATGAATAGTCTTCCTTTGCTTTTCAGAGTCTTGGCTAAATTTTGTCCTAAAAGTTATTTGATCTTTTAAACATTTAATAACTTTAGAAAACATATGATTTAAAATGATCATTTATTCCACTTAAAATAATGGAGTGTATTTTTTTCAGAATTTAGATATTTTTTAATTTTTAAATTTGTTCTAATTAGTTATACATGAAAGTAGAATGCATTTTGACTCATCATACATAAGTAGAATGTAATTTTTCATTCTTCTGGTTGGGTCAGGTCTAATAAAAAGTTGCTATTTCACACACAAAAAAAAGAATAGAAAGAAAGAAACTAAGGCACAGAGACAGAGAAAGGTTACTTATACTTTTTCTAGAAAAGATCCAGCTCATAACTGTTGATAGTTCCAACCCTTGATGTGTTTCATTTCAAAGCCTAAGTATTTAATCACATTGGTGTATTCAGATCCATTCATAAACTATAAGATGTTGACATGGGGTCAAATTTGACCCCCCCACACACCATGTTTTGGTTTGAATTTGGAATGTCCTCAAAAGCTCACATGTTGTAAGCATGGTCCCCAATGCATCAAGGTTCAGATATGGGAATTTTAGTCAATAATTAGAGCTCTGACCTCAACAATGAATTAATACATTTGCTGGATTAATTCAATGGTAGGATAATAGTTGATGAGCATGGTTGGAGGAAATAGATCACTGGGGACATGACCTTGGTGCATATTTCTTTCCCTCACCCTTCTTTATCTCTTTGTTTCATAGCTGGCATGAAGTGAGAAGCTTTCCATTGTCATGATCTTCTACCATAATGTTTTACCTCATCTTGGGTCTTAAGTGTTGGATTTGGACAACTATGAACTGATATCTGTGAAACTGTGTGCCCAAAATAAAATTTTTTGTCCTCTAAATTTTTTTGTAAGTATTCTGATCCCGCTGATAGAAAGCAGACTCACACATATAGTAACACCACTGATGTGAGGTAAATATTGGTCCCCAGTTTATTCACCTCTGAAATTTTCTCAAACTGTTTTATATAATGCTGCTTCCCAAATACTTCATTTACCTTCATTAAATACTGGTTCCTGACTTCATCCTCATATCCATAAAACACTCCTTCCCAGAAACATTGCTAATTACTTAGATATATGGTTCCATTTGGTGAATGTAGCACAGTTTATCAGCAATTGGGTACATAATAGCAAGAGGGTTCAGAAGAACAAATAAAGATATTACAGAGATGGAAAAAAGAAAGATGAGAAATAAAGAATATATATATATATTTTTTCTTCTATAAAATTGCCAGATCTCTATATATAAATTGATAGATTCTTATACTTGTAAGAATTATTGTAACTAAGTTAAGTTATACTATAATTTTTTTGTGATCTAATAAATAGTATTCTTTTTTTTTCTTTCTGTACCAAATTCATAAATCAATAGACAAATAGAGATCAAAAACTTGATTAGTCTGTGTGGACAGCTATAAAAAAATATAAGCTGAATGACTTATAAACAACAGAAATTTATTTGTCACAATTCTGGAGAGTGGATGTTCAAATCAAAGTACCAACAAACTCAGTGTCTGGTGAAGGTATACTTCCTGGTTTGTAGATGATGCCATCTAGCTGTGGACATGGTAGAGAGAGGGATCTTCCAGGGTCCTTTGTATAAAGATGCTAATTCCATTAATGAGACTCTGTCTTAATGACCCAATCACCTCCTAACAACCTTAGCTCCTAATACCATCACCTTAGAAGTTATATTTTAACATATAAATTTCAAGAGAACACAATTTTCAGCCTCAACTGATATGGTACATTGAGAAAGTGGCATCAGGATTATTGGTGGAGCTGATTTTGAAGCCTTATAGAGAATTATGTCTTCAGTGGGCTTTTTCAAATGTGCATTTGAATTAGGCCCACATCATTCCCTAGTCCCCGAGTCTAATAGACTATTAGGGGCCTTCCATTAAAAGAAAGAATACTTAAGAAATTGGAAATGTCATTTGATTTGTTATTATGAAGATAAATTCCTGTTTTATATGGAGCAAGCCAATTTGATCCAAATCAATATTTCTGAGTTTTTCACTAAAGAGTTATAGTTATATAATTCATAACTTTTAGTAAACAAATAATTTTTTTTAATTTATAAGATTTCCCATAAAGAGGTCTTGAATAGTCAAAATTATGCCCTCAAGATTATAAGTCAGCATGAGAATTATTTCTAAATTCATTTATTGTTCAATAAACATGCTTCTGTGTCTTTGCTGTTTGACAGAACTGGACAGAAAATCAATCACACTATACAAAGTCACTGAATAACTGTAGAGAAGTCACATTTTTCTGGTAATAACTATGTACATATGCACTGAGAAATTTTGATAAAACAAGACATAATGAATATCTCAGAGCCTGTTCTTCTCAGTTCTTCATTTAAGGACATTTACTATCGATTGTTTTCTGATGCTCTGACCTCAGTTATTCTTTACTTGATTGATCTAAATAATAGAAAATGGGTGTTTCAGTTTGGGTTTCCCTAAAAGGACACAGAAATAATGATGTTGACATTCTTGTCCATCACAGGAGAAATTAAAAGCTAGACAGGGGCGGGAGCAAGTGTCATAAAGGTTGATCTAATGAGGACGATGGGTTGAAAGGTGAATTGTATTTACTCTTACGTACACTACTCTCAGGTCTAGAGACCTGACTTTTTATGTATTGTTTATACTATTTGTATCCACTCGCTTTCACCTTTAGAATAGATGAAATGAGAAACATTAAACTCTTTCATTGTGTCTTGTGCTTACTCTTCTCATACAGTATTGAGCTGTGGATGACTAGAAATCAGGAATCAACATTTTCACAATATCTACATGTTTAGGTTCTTTGTGTTTGCTTGCTTTTATTTTTATTTTGTTTTGTTGAAGTCAGATATGGCTATAAAATATATAAGATATTAAATATTATAGGTTTTACTGGAAACAAAAACCCTCTGATACATACCTTAAGAGAATACTTTTTTTAACACATTATATATATAATGTGTTTAAAAAAAATATATATATATATAT